AGCATTCAGGAGGTGAAAAAGGTCTTCCCTTCAATGAGGTGGTGAGGACTACTGTGGGAGATAGGTGAGGGGCTTGGGAAAGAGGTGTGGCCAAGACCAGAGGGCTTCTGTCAGCTAAAGCAAGTGGCTTCCCTTCATTTTGCTGTTCCTCCACAAATTGTGTGGTTGGCATTGGCATGCACCGTATTCCTTTTGTGGGTACACTGGCCCTCCGCTTCTCCATCTGTCAGTTCTCTCAGAATGCACACATTGTTCTGCCTGGAAGCCCACCATATCCCACCCTCACTTTTCTTCGTTAATCTAAGCTTCCTTGAGGTCTCAACTCAGGTTGCCGCCTCAAGGAAACCCTCTGTGACCTTCGAGTCTAGGTTAGGCTCTTTGTTTCCTGTCCTCATAGTGATGGTGTTGGGGCCTTCACAGCTCTTAGCTCAGTTTGCCCTTATTTGAATCCCTCAGGGCTTTTTCTCGGTGCCCTGAGGTCAGGGACTGATGGTCTGTTTGGGCTGATGCATCCTCTGGTAGAGGGTTTGGTTGTGGAAGATTCTAATCTTGGTGACTAGCCTCATAGGCTAAGTAGTTAAGGGCAGGTAGTTAAAGGGTGTTCCAGGCAGAGGGATCATCATGGGGAAGAGGTGTTAGAGTGGTTTGCATGCAGAGGTTTGGGAGATGGTTTCAAATGGAAAGGTAGGGGAGAGTGAAACCCAAGTTGGTCGGGGAGCCCCTATCAGGAAGGAGTTGATTAGAAAGGAATTTTGTCCTGAAGCCTATTATTGTCTCTTTAGGATTGTCTAATCCCTCTCCTGCTTAGACTTGATTTTGCTGACAATCATTTGTTGTCAGAATGGAGGGTAGGTTGGAAGAGTGAGACTAGAAACAAGAATTTAGAAGCTGGACAGGAGGGTCTCTGTAAGGAGGGTCATGAGAGTCCTATAAAAGGAGGCACTGAGGACTTTCCATTGGCCATATGAGTGATCAAGTCAACATCTCTAATCCATCTCTCTCCTCCCTATCCCACCTTCTTCACTCCAGTATCTAGAATTGGGCTCTGATTATAGAAACTGTTTCATGATTGAGGCCTAAAGAATTAAGCTCAAAAAGGTTGGAAGGCAACATGGGAAGTTCTGTTCTTATTGTAGGTTCTATTCCATTCCTGGTGAGAGGTAGGGATGTGGTAAATCACTGCCAGGAACAGATGTTATAAAAAATCACCTATCATTTCTTTATGTGTCTTGATAAATATTTAGTGTCCACTTTAGGCAGAAATCTGAGGTCTAACAGTCCCCTAGAAAGCATCTAAGACATTCTATTGGGTTTTCCCCGGGAGATGGGACTGTGGGATTCCCCAGGCCCTAGGTGTTTCAGCAGATATGCAGTCAGAGGTTGTGGAAGTGGGCATGATCCAAGCAGGTCTGGGCTGTAGTCCAGGCAGAATTATAAACATGCTAGGAGAAGGCAAGCCTCTGGCTTGTTAAAGGATTTAAAACACCATTAGGTGGTAGGGAGAAACAGAAACAGAAGGTGACCCAAGGTGTCTTTTTTCAGCTTTTTACCTGGAAGAGAATTTGGTAAGTAGGGTTGGGAGAATATGTTGAAATGGAACTTTGAGGCTGGCTGGCTGAAGAGAAAAGAGTCCTTTATGCTTATACTTGGGTTAAAGTGCCAGAGCTTGCTGAGAAATTCCATCCTTTGCTGGTGGGGGGAGAGAGAGAAATCTATGTGCTTAGGGAATGGCAGACAAAAAGGGATGTGACCTCCAGGGATCCTCTTGCAGGTGGCCTTGGTCTTTCATTTTTGTGGAACCCTGATTTGGTACCAAGTGGAATTGTCAGTCAAGTCTCTGATGAACTCTGCATGAGTCCTTTAGTATGGGGTAAAATATTAGGAAGGCCTAAGCTATGGAAGAATAAGAATAAGCCCCTCCCTGTTGTTTTAAGGCTGTTTTTAACTCAAATCTACTTAAGGCCATTTTCCTCCTTCTTTTGGAGGCATAGAGGTGGGGAAAAGAGTAGTAACTTAGAGGGCCATTTCCTTCCTTCTTTGCTGGTCTTCTGTCACATCTTCAACTTCTAACGTGCCAAGATAAGCTATTTCCCCCTGCCCAGAGTACTCATACTGCTCTAAGGACTCTGGTTTGTAGGCAAAGACTATGATTAAAAGTTAAATTTGTCACCACTTTTAGCTCTCACAGTCTCTTCCTTTTTAGCCCTGTAATTCCTAAAACCTCTAACTTCCTTTTTTTCTCATTATCACTGCCAGTACACTACTTTTCCTTCTAGGACTCCTTGATCTCTTTACCACTCTCTGTCAGGATCTGGGTGTGAGAGGAGAAAGGGGAAGAACCCACTTACCTCCTTTAATGCTAGGTTTTGCCCCACATCCCATTGTCAAAAAGTCAGGGACCAAATAAAACCTTATTTATTCTTATATTCCTCCTATTTTGAGGTCCCAGTCCTGGCTTTTTTTTTGGGAAGAGGGTAGCGCAGTTTGTATTTTACCTACTTCCTATTAGAGTTCTCCCCTGTCACATTTCTCACATGTGATCCACATGAATCACAAGTGGAACTGTTCAAGACCGTTTTAGTTAGGGGCGCCTGGGTGGCTCAGTGGGTTAAATGTCTGCTTTTGGCTCAGGTAATGATCCCAGGGGCCTGGGATCGAGCCCCCCTCATCAAGCTCTCTGCTCAGCTGGAAGCCTGTTTCTCCCTCCCTCTCTCCCGGTCTCTCTGCCTGCTTGTGATCTCTCTCTGTCAGAGATCTTACTTGACAGAGATTAAATAAAATCTTAAAAAAAAAAAAAGACTGTTTTAGTCAGATTTTTAGAAAATACAAGAAGGCCTTCTTTTAAATATTTTCTTCCATGCTCCAAAATACCTTTGAGCCTACATCTCTTGATTGGGAAAAGAGTTGTCTCACTTCTTTTTCATCATCCCTTTGGACTGCTTCTACTCCTGAGAGTCCTAGAAAGGATCAGAATTCAACCTGCCTTCTTTCTGTGGAACTATACAATTCATTGTGATTTGACAGCCGCTAGCCATGTATGGCTATTTCAAGTTAATTAACATTAAATAGAATTAAAAATTTAATTCCTGAGTTGGACTAGACACATTTCAAGAGTTCAAGCTCAAGGTAGCTATCAATACCTACTAAGTCAAACAGCACAGATTCAGAACACTTCCACTGTTGCAAAGTCCTTTTAGACTTTGTACAGTAGGCGGTCTTATGTCCCCCTTTTTGTTATCCTGTTTTATCAGTTGATAAATATTTGTAATGACTTCACTGTTACAGGATAACTTTCTGGGGTGGGGGGTCAGGGATTGGGGGTGGGGAATAGCATAGAATCTCTAGGTCCTATAAAGATTTCTGGAGGCATGGCATAGGGACCAGAGGTTGATGGCCAGTGGCAGAAGAGACTAGGTTTTAAGGAAGTGCTTTAGGAGTTGATATTATATTGTATTAATCCAGGGCCATACACAGCCAACAGGAGCAGACAGGTTCTGGTTTTATAAGTTCTGCATAATACTTAAAAACCAAAGCAAAAATGGGTCTCCTGGGTGGCTCAGTGGGTTAAGCCTCTGCCTTCTGCTCAGATTATGATCTCAGGGTCCTGGGATCGGGCCCCACATTGGGCTTTCTGCTCAGTGGGGAGCCTGCTTTCCCCTTTCTTTATCTACCTGCCTCTCTGCCTCCTTGTGATCTCTATCAAATAAATTAAAAAAAAAAAAAACAAAACCAACAATCTGTCCTATGGCCCTGCTGAAACTGATGTTTGCTGAAGTGATTGCCTTATTAATCATTTCTAGATCTTCATTTCATATACTGCTTTATCTGTCATAGCCCTTGTTCTCCCAAATGGCAGTGACAGAGGCAGCTCTGGTTTAAAAAAAGGTTTGCTGACTCTGCCATCTGCTTGCCAAGAGCTGGAAGAAGTAGGAGTTATATCAGTTAATCTGCTAAGACTATGTTTAATAATGTTCTAACTAGGTGGAGCTATTCTTCCACTGAACACTTAAACACCTAGGTCAGTCACAGGCTATAGGGCATAAGTAAAGCTGGTAATGGAACATCTGTGATTTGACCACTTTCCCTGAGTAGAGACCATTAGTTCTCAACCACGGATGATTCTGCTTCTCTCTCCCCTCTCCATAAGACATTTGGAAATGTTAGGAGACATTTGTGGTTTTCACAACTGGTGGAGGGGTGCTACTTATATCTGATGGATAGAGTGCAGAGATGCTGCCAGGCATCCTACAGTGCACAGGACAGCCTCTCTCCCCCCAGAATAATTATCTTACTCAAAATGTCAATAGTGCTGAAGTTGAGAAACACTGGTCTAGATTATAGTGTGGATCAGTTCTTAAAGTCATGACTATTTATGAGGTCCAGACTCAGTGGGTAATAATTAAGGCTGGCAAGTGTCTATTAAATTGGGAAGGAAAAAAATAAGGAGTCAGTGGAACTGTGGTCTCCATAAAACTGAAGGACAGGTGTAACTGGAGTGTGTTTGACTGCACTAGAAGGCTAAGAGCTAAGATCATAGTGCAACTGGAGATGAGGACTTCAGATGTGTAGCAAGTCTGTATAAAGATGAGGTCCCAGGTACAGTCACAGGAGTAGCGAGGAGCAAGTTTAAACAGTCTGACTTGTGATACAGCAGTCAACAGCTGAACCTAGTAGGGAAAACAGTCAATAAACAGATGAGTATCTGGTGAATATGGATATACTAGTTTTTCTCAACGTTTTTGTAACCCATAGCTCTACTTTTCATATACCTAAAAATCTCATACTCCCCCTCCTTCAGTGTTATTTAAAATTTCACAATTAAGAATCGTGACTAAAAATCAAAGCAACGGTAATTTTGGAAGCCAAAATTTATTCAGATGATGTGATAACCATGTCACTGTTAAGCCTTAACTTTTCTTTCCTGGGTGGTGTAGAAAATGTAACAAAACACAGGCTGCTTTAATAATACTTTGGTACTGTTTTCAATCCAGAGCTAGATATACCCCCTCCCCCCCAGAAAGCTTTTAAGATGTAAAGAGAAAATGGAATAAATTCTTTTAATCTGTTTAGACATTTTACATCTCCGTTTCTCTAGAGTATTTATCTGGAAGTTTCTAGTCAAAACAATCAGTCTTTGATTTCCACATACTCCTCCTGAAGTGCTGTCAGTGAGGACCAAATATCAGTGAAAACATTCTTTCCAAAAGTTACCACAGGTAGGTTTTAAGAAAAACGTCAAGAACAATCACCCAAAATAGTTCTGGACATTTCATGCTTTTTTCTTGAAATAACATGAATCTAGTCCTTCAAATGGCAAAGCAAATTAGACATTTTTAGTACGAGTTTGCTATGTGTAGCTGGGTTTTTGGTAAGTTTTGCTTCAGGTATTTCAAAACAAGTGGGGATTGTTGGTGCTCGCCTTCTGACATTTCACTGTCAGTGTATTTTAGGCTTCAGTGCATTAAATTCTGCTGAAAGTTTTAATTTTTGAAATTTTAAAAGTACAGATTCTCTTTAGGTGGTATTCCAAAATCAGACATGTTGTTTTGCATTGGTGTTCCAAAATCATTCTGTCCACAAATTCAGCTGAATACAGTTCTTTGACAACCAAGGAACCTCAGTATGTAACAGAAAATACTCTTCAACAGGATTCTCAACAGATCTTCAAAAATCAAGGCAAACTGGGATCAAATCTACTGTTTTTCACAAAGGTTACACTGACAGCAAGGTGAAGATTTCCAGTAGATTATGGGCCAGCTGATGGAAGTTGATGCTTGGTGTTGATTGTTATAGTACATCTTAAACACAGTTTTCTTCAGTTTTGCCAAAAACCCAGATCTAAAACACTACTGTAATGTATACCCTTGTAATATTAAAACTTTCTTCCATCTCAGTTCATTTTGTACAGCTTCAAAAATACTGTCTTTAGTGGTCAAGTATTAGGCTTGTGAAACCAGCATACTCACAGTTTTTAAAGCCTATTTTAAACATAAGCAAAGCACATTTTTATCAGTAGATTCTTCTCAACTAAGCAAAGAAAGATGAGCTGAAGTTTTTAAAACTTGAAGTTTGATATACTCAGTCATCAATCCAGAGTTAAGACTGCAGGAAGTAGATGAAAGTCTGGAATTCCTCAATTTCCTCTTAAAGTTGCGGCAGCACTTGGAATGCAGGGCTTCAAAAGTTTCTCCATTTTTTTTCTCCTTTGCAATTAAAAGGGCTATTTAATATTGTGCTTTCATAGCCTTTGAAGATTGCTGTTAATAATCCAATACTGTCCAATCTTAAAGCTTCAGAGAATTGTGCTTTGCAGAATACTCCAATATTTTTATAGCATAAATTTAACAGTGTTTGGCATGGTGTCACTGGCCAACATTTTCAGGTAACTCAACTGAAGAAGTTGACCCTATCTTCTGCATCATAATGTGAATATATACTTCATAAAAGCCTCAAAAAAATTTTTGGCTGCCATCTTTAGCTACCTCAAAGGAGAAAACAAAAAGGAGTACTGATGATGGAAGCATCTGGTCCCTCGTGGAGAACGAGAAGTGATTTTATTGGCGGCAGCTGGGTGGCAGAGCAATATAGGCATCCAGTTATGCCTGAACCCCAAAAAGTGAAATCTTTGTTCATTTCCTTTTTATACACCCATCTGCCGCCTAAAACCTGACACCATTTAATGGTGCCCTTGGTCAAATCTAAATGATCTTACTTTTCATAATCCTCTGATTCTAGCTTGAAGAGTCAAGATGAACTCTAACTTATGGGATGGACAAAATGGAAGATGTAAATAAGTAAGCTTTCAGAGCTAAAAAGCCTCTTTTTATACAAAATTAAACTTTAAAAAAACATTGACCTCAAAACAATATAACTGTCTTGGATATGTTATAAAAATAGCAGTATAAATAGCACCATACCCACAGTGAACATATGTAGTTACCCAACCTGTCCAACTTCATTAATTATAGGCCTTACTCTGAACGCTTCTTGTTCTGTCTTTGTACTTCCACCAGCAAAGGAGTTCTTTCCAACTTTATTTCTTAAGAAATATTTTTTCTTTTTAACATTACAACACTAATTTTATAAACTATACAATTTTATAAACTATAACTCTCCCCATATCTGCAGCGCTAATAAAATTTGTGGAGGGAGAGAATGCCTTTCTCTCCTATTCCTAAAAATCAGACTAGTCCTTGAGTCTATGAGTGACAACACCCTACTCAGTTCCTAAAACTAAAAAGCTTGCTTACCTCCAAAGTAGATAAAAAATGTGTTGAATTGGTAGCTGTCAAGAATACACTCTAACCAGAACTGTGAGAAGGGTAATGCATAATATTAAATAAACCATATACAAAAAGTTTATTGTTAACTATTGTTATGAGAGTTTATTAGGTAAAATTCTAAGTTATGCTTCTGTAATGTATATGTTGACCAATGAAAGGCAGTAACAAAACAGTGTCATCAATTACTAAAAGTTTATACATACATAAAAAATTTTTACCTCTTCCGTGTAATTCTATGTGTGGCAATAGCACCTACCTAAATTGTGGTATGGGTTTGAAAATAAAAGTTAAATTTCCTTTTAAATACTCTATATATTTTGAAAGGGATTATCTCCAATTTGTTTTACTTGGTTTTGGTGTTTATATTTACTGGTATGCTTTATAAGTAACCCCTCAAGTTTCAAATGAGTATTCTCTGGCTTCCTAGGTTGAAAAGACCATCTCTCCTGTTTAAATTGGCTTTCAGTTAAAATTTTGGTTTCAGAATCCTTACAGAAAATTCTAACAGAGGACTGAAAGTTTACCTCCTTACATAAGTGGCAGTGTGCTAAAACCCAGAAGTATAGGACAGTTTCTCCTGGCAGCAACTTCTGTTACCCTGGGGAAAGCATGGTGCTAGGATTTGTCCGTAAAGTCAAGTTCGTATGATGAAATTAGCAGTGATTTGTAGTTAAGATTTGTGTCTTATATGTCCATTTACCAGTAACTGTAAGTTGAAGGGTAATGAAATAGCAAATATATGATGTCTTAGGACAGTGTTCTGGTTATGTTTTGACTGCACTCCAGAGTAAGCAATACATTTTACTCTCAAGACTAAGTATATACACCTGTACATAGAAAAGTTTCAAAAGACAGTGTTTTCTTTAGTGTGTTCCATGCACTCTGATATTTTCTGTTTAATATTAAAGTAATGCTGGTCATGACCCATTTATTTTAAGACCCACTAATTGGTCAATCCCCATATTTTGGAAACCGCTACTCTAGGAGAACATGAGATATTTTATAAACTATAAGGCACACCAAGATGTGAGCAGCTGCTAATATTCAGGACAAAACTTTAATGGGCCTGAGACATCCTTTCCTTCTTGGGTACTGCTACGAGTCCCATTCACCTAGGCTTTTGGTAAGAAAGACAATATTCCAGCTGTCATTGAGACAACCCTGTAATACTCCGATCAGGAAAGCAATGTATTAATCAAATCAGAACCCAAAGAAAAGACTACAAGCTAGAGGAAAATCAAAACAGACATTTTTTCAGTGCTTTATGGTTTATAAAATACTTTCACATACATGATCTCTTAATCTTAAGCCTAGGGAAAAATAAACTAAGAGGTAGAGACCTGCCCAAGATTAGACAGTAAGTGGCAGAGCCAGGTCATCTGATCCTAAATCCCTCACTCCTTTTACTGTGATAAAATACCAGGAAAGGAGAGTGATCACGGCATGAAGCTTCTTCTGATCCATTAAAAAGATGTAAAAACATTTTTATATCCTCTACCTCCCTCTGTAGGGAAACTGTTTTCCCTATATCCATTGTTACCGAGGATGAGGAAGTAACCTCAGACTTTGGGAAGGGGTGTGGCCAGTTCCACTTAATTAGACCAGGCATTTCAGTCTACCAATACCAGTTATGTTTTTTCTGTGTGTTTCTTCTCCAGTCATCTGTTTTGACATTGTGCTCTGAGGTCCCGAATGTCTATTATCTACAAGTTTTCTGTTCCTGTGTGTTAAGGGTCCTGGAGTCTTAGGTACAGACTCAAGACTCAACAGATGGAAATCAAGAACTAGGGATATGTCACCTATACTGAGATTGAAAGGGAATAACAGTAGTATGTTTCTGGTGACTGTTGTGTCTTTGCTCAGCTTCCCCAGGGGAAGCCAATCAGCCTCAACCAATTTGCCTACCTATGCCCATCTTCACTACTGTGCCCTCATCTCTCACAGAAAAGAGGTTCAACTAGCAAGTACCCATCTCTCCCAGTTCCCCTTGTTTTCTCTCCACTCCCTTCAAGCCCTCACCCCCTTTCCCTCTTTGTGCCTCTCACCTTATACTGCACCACCTCCTCCAGCGGCACCACGCTGTGCTGTTTGTGGCTCCTGGATTCTCGGCACACCACACAGATGGCCTCTTTGTCCACCTCGCAGAAGAGCTTCAGGGCTTCCTGGTGTTTGGAGCAGATACCTTGATCATTCCCCCAGCTTCCTCGATAAGGAGTGGGGCACATCTGGCGAATTATCTGGACCATGTTGGCTAGCTGCAGGTTGGGACGAAAGTTGCGACGGGTAAAGCTCTTTCGGCACTGGGGGCAGGTGAACTGACGTGGAGGGGCCGGAGGATGCAGTTTGGTGTCAGGATGCAGCTCTTGGTCGTCCTCGTCGTATTCTTCCAGTATCTCCTCTTCTGGGTAGACGTCAATTCTCAGGTCATGCCTCAAGCCTCCCAGGTAATAGTCCCGGTCCTCCTCCTCCTCTTCCTCCTGGGCCCACACATAGTCCATGTTGTCCCTGACGCCGCCGTCACCAACCCAGAGTTCATAATCTTGGTCCTGGAACACCTCCTCATCGGCATTGCCCTGGTACAAAACCTCTCGAATGGAGGTGTCCCATCCACCGATGGCCCCCTCCACGTCGTCGTCCTCGTCCTCCTCCCATTCATCTATCTCCACTTCCCTGTTTTCCTCATCATCCTTGCCCCACAGCTGGGTCACACACCCTCGGCAGAAGTTGTGCCCGCAGCCTATGGATACGGGATCCTTGAAGTATTCCAGGCAGATGGCACATACCGCTTCCTCCTGAAGGGTCTGCACGGGGTTAGGAGTAGTGGCATAGCCGGCCATTTTTAGTGTGCAGCCTGTGGGTGTGGATGCCTCCGCTCGGAGCTGAGGAGCTGGGGGACTGCTTGCGGGCCTGCCCCCAAGCTACGCTTGTGACCCCAGGCTGTTCTCAACTCTGCTTTTCCTCCTCAGGCCCGAAAAGATGCCTGGCTCCCCTCCCGCAGGGTTTTCCCAGCTCAAGGAACGAAAGCCCTCGGTCCAGGATGCAGCCTCCACTTCCCTTTGAGGCTCAGAATGTACACCCAGATCCTGACACGTTTCTCGCTTCCCTCCGTGTTTGCCCGACCCAGCGGCGGCATCCTCAGGTGTAGACACTCCTCACCCAGCCCGAGGCGACAAAGAATGACGTAGGCGCTCTAACCCCCACTCGGGAAGGGGTAGACTGAGCCGACGGAGGACCACATTCTCTATGGTGCCGCAGGGGACACCACAGCTGGGAGCGTGGCCAGCCATGTAGCCGGCCCGAAGAAAAAAAGACTGGTGAGAATAGGCGAGGTGGGAAGAGAATCTATTTACTCCCCCGAGTCGCGTTAGCGCCGCTTCAATTAGTAGGATAGAGAAGGCCCGGCGATCTCTCAGCGGAGCCAATACCCAGGAACCGACCGGAAGGAGGCGGAGTGCGGCGGCCAAGCTCGCGCTCTCGTGCACTTCCGGCCCTTCTAGCCAGAGATCTTGGTGGTAGTAAGAACGCCCTCCTCTCGGAGGTCGCGCTCGGGGGCGTGGCCTGCGGAATCGCGGCGGGGTGGGGCTTGCGGCGGCGTGCAATTACTGTGAGGTTAGGGGGACTCGCGTGGGGGCTCGCGTGCCTCCCTTTTCTCAAAACTAGTTAACCCTTTCACTGTTGCCTGAGGAGCCTCGGCCTCCTAGCCAGTTTTCTCCCGGTACTTTTACTCTGTGACCACTCAGTTACCCTCAGACTCCGCATGCCCTGCACTGACTCTGTAGGCGGTTTCGCCTTCATCGATAATGCTTCTCTTCACCGTCCACTCGCCATCTACCTACGCTTGCGTGAGTCCGTTCATCCATCCACTTGGCTGCCCATTTATTTCATTTCATTTTTAAAAAAGATTCTATTTATTTATTTGACAGATCACAAGAAGGCAGAGAGGCAGGCAGAGGGAGAGGGGTAAGCAGGGTCCCTGCTGAGAAGAGCCCGATGCGGGGATCGATTCGAGGACCCTGAGATCAAGACCGGAGACGAGGCTTAACCCACTGAGCCACCCAGGCGCCCCTGCCCATTCATTTTAATTCCGTTCATCATACACATGCATAACCCATCCATTTACCATATACTTTATAGGAACAAAAACGTGAGCAGGGCATGATCAATCCCTTCAAGGAGTTCAGGTATAAGCATGTGGTTATCTGTAACCCAAGGTTTCACAAGGTCTGTTTTTACTTGACCCTCCCTAAGAAATGCACTGCACACGTTAATCCAATACAGACTTGCACATGTATAACAGAAACAATTTCTGGAAATTGTCCTTTCCCTTATGGCATTCAATGCACCCTGATATGTTCTATTTTGCTTAAATAAAATGTTCAAGATCCACTGGTATGATTGGACCCCTCATTAATACGGCACTGTTTGGTTTGAGGAACACCACCTGTACTACTGGAATCCCTCGTCTCCCTCTGGGCCCAGACTTGAACAGTAGGTTCTAGAGAGGAAGGATGGTAAGGGCTGTTAACATTGTACATGCAGCTCCTCTATCATAGTGCCAAACATACAGCAAGTACTTCTTACATAGCTGCTGGGTAAATAATGAACCAACCCAACAAATTGCAACCATCAAGCCCTGCTGATTTTTATCTCCTCAAACCTAGGCAGCCTTCTCTGTCTTTGTTCCTGCCATCCTAGACCTGACCCCATCAGCTTCCGGCTGGATGGACAGAGTTTCTTAACATTTCAGTCCATCCTGCGGCCAGCAGAACCATCTGCCTGAAATGGTGGTCTGACACACTCATCCCAGGCTGTTGCCTCGGTTTTTGGGCATATTCTCCCACCTAGAAGGCTTTTGTCTCACTGCTACCCCAGATATAGCTCCCTAATTATCTTTCAGGTCTCTGTTCAGGCACAATGTGAAGATTCTTCCATGAGGCTGGTCCCAGGCTGTGTTAGCACCCCACCTGTCACTTTCTGTGTGACCTTGGGTTTTCTTAACAACTGTGCTGCCATATCCCCATATGGAAAGTAAAGAGGGTTGTTGTGAAGTTGGTATTCCAATTATTATTGACATCTGTAATTAGATCAGCGCCCACTGGTGTTATCTTTGTATCCCCATTACCTACAGTTATATTCCTTTCCTGTAGCAGATGAGCCATAGAAGAAACTCACCCCATTTCCTGTCCTCTTCCTCTTTGAATAGGATCAAGAGATTGGGACCCTATGGTGAAAAGTAGCCCACCACCTCTCATTTAGTGGTTCTCAGAGCTGTATGTTTGGAGAGGGAGTTGAAACCTAGGCCTGACCTGCCTGCAGTGGGGCATCTCTTGGGAGTGTTTGTTATGAAACTAACAAATTCCCAGTATGCAGTCTGGGAGACTTCCCAGAGGTCTTGGCTGAGCCTGAGGAGCCATGAGGGAGAATCTTGAGCAACAAGAACTGGAACTGTATTTCAGGGCTGGAATACTTACCCATCTCTGAATGCAGGTTTTACCTTACACATGGAATGGCAGAAACAGCTGGGGAGATCAAGGGAAGAGGGGCCTGCTGGAAAGCAAATTCTTGCCTGCCCTGGAGGGGGGTGGGGTACACTGAACCCAGGTAGGAAGGCAGGCTGAAGGAAAAGAGCAAGGGGTAACATGTACAGGGAAAAGATGGTGGGAGAAGGCTAGAGGGAGCATCTTGGAGGAACTGGTAAAACTTAAAAGGCATATAGCAGATACCCATTCTAAAGAATACCTAGGTGTATAAGAATCTTTAATACCGGGGGAGGGGGGTAAGGAGAGGGTGGTTGGGTTATGGACATTGGGGAAGGTATGTGTGTCAGTGCTGTGAAGTGTAAACCTGGTGATTCACAGACCTGTACCCCTGGGGCTAATAATACATTTTATGTTAATAAAAAATTTAAAAAAAATTGTATATGCAGTTATCACCTGTCCCCCCATCTTTAATACCTATTTCTTTTATCTTCTCTAAATTATCCTTCCCGAAGTTCAAGTGCCAGCTGGAAGGGGCTTCCTTCATATTCCCTCAGATTGTTGTAAAGTTTATCTGATCTTTACCAGAAGAGAGGTGAGGCTTGGTTTTAATCCCCTTTGCAACCCTGGCATCCCTGCAACAAGGCATGTTTCTATCTGCAGGACTGCTTGCTGTCTCCTGAACCCAACCTGGAGCTGTGGGTTATCAGAGTAGGTGACCTGGCACACCCATGGCATCAGGCCATTTTCTCAGGGCATTGGCAAAATGGCAGCAGTGGGAGTACTCAGGGGCTGGAGCTTAGCAATGGTGGTAGCTGCCAATGTATTTTTCACAGGACGTTCAGAAAATGTATCCATGGAAACTCACATTAGCTTCTTTGGTTTCCTAAGATTTTATTTTTAAGCAATCTCTATACTCAAGGTGGGGCTTGAATTCATAACCCCAAGATCAAGAGTTGTATGTTCTTCCCACCAAGCCAGCCAGGCGCCACTCACATCAGCTTTATTAGGCTGGAGAAGCCCACTTAAGAGTTTAGCGGCAGATAATTTTTTTTCACTTTTTTAAAAATTATATTCAGTTAGCCACTGTATATATTATATATATTATAATATATATTATAATGTATATAATGTACATCATTAGTTTTTGATATAGTGTCCAATGATTCACCAGTTGCGTGTAACACCCAGTGTTCATCACAAAATGTGCCCTCCTTAGTGCCTGTCACCCAGTGACCTTATCCCCCCACCCACCTCCCCTCTGAAACCTTCACTTTGTTTCCCAGAGTCCATAGTCTCTCATGGTTCATCTCCCTCCCCAATTTCTCCCCCTTCAGTTTTCCATCCCTTCCCCTATGGTTCTTTGCACTATTCCTTATAGTCCACATATGAGTGAAACCATGTAATTGTTTCTCTGCTTGACTTATTTGACTTAGCATAATCTCCTCCAGTTCTAACCATGTTGATTTAAATGGTAGGTATTCATTCTTTCTGATGGCTGAGTAATATTCCATTGTATGCATGAATCACATCTTTTTTTATCCATTCATCTGTTGAAGGGCCTCTCAGCTCCTTCCGCAGTTTGGCTATTGTGGACATTGCTGCTATGGACACTGGAGTGCATGTGCCCCTTCTTCTCACTACACCTGTATCTTTGGGGTAAATACCTAGTGCTGCAATTGCTGGGTCCTAAGGTAACTCTCTTTTTAATGTCTTTAACTCTCTTTTTAATGTCTTAAGGAACCTCCATCCTGTTTTCCAGAGTGGCTGTACCAGCTTGCATTCCCACCAACAGTGTAAGAGGGCTCCCCTTTCTCCACATCCTTGCCAACACTTATTTCCTGTCTTGTTAATTTTTGCCATTTTAACTGGTATAAGGTGATATCTCATTATGGTTTTGATTTGTATCCTGCCACATTTTTGAAAGGATAGCCTCTGCGGTATTCCATAGGTTCTGGACTGATGTTTTCATTCTCATTAGTTTCCATGACTTAAGTTCTTCCTTAATTTCCTGGTTGACCAGTCATTCTTTAGTAGGATGTTCTTTAACTTCCACATGTTTCAATTCCTTCCAAATTTTTTCTTGAGTTCCAGTTTCAAGGCACTGTGGTCTGGTAACATGCAGGGAATAATCTCAATCTTTTGGTATTGGTTGACACCTGATTTGTGACCAATATGTTATCTATTCTGGAGGAAGTTCCATGTGCATTCAAGAATGAATATTATGTTATTTTAGGGTGGAATGTTCTGTATGTATCTACAAAGTCCATCTAGTCCACTGTGCCATTCAAAGCTCTTGTTTCTTTGTTAATCTCCTGCTTAGATGAGCTGTTCATTGCTGAGAGTCTACTACTATTAATGTATTATTATCGGTATGATTCTTTATTTTGGTTAACAGTTGGCTGCTCTCATCTTGGGGGCAGAGATACTTACAATTGTTGGATTTTTCTGTGGGATAGACCCTTTAGGTATATTAATAGTGTTCCTTTA